CCGCAGAACATACCGCTGTGCCACTAAGGGGGGGGGCGATGAAATAGTAAAACGAAAAGTAGGGTGTCTAATTATTAAAAATAATAACATAATTTTTTTGTGTTATGTCTTCGTTTATTCCTATAGTTAAGATGTATTTTGTACTCCAATTTGCACTAAAGAAATTAAATAAATAATAGTCATTGATTAATGTGGTGAAATTCATCAGGTGCATGATCATTTATCGAGTCATCATCTCAAAAGTAGGGACCATTAAATAAAACCTGAAAACATATTTAAACCTAATTATTCATTGCCGTCCTGCACTTTTCTGGAATGTTTCAAACACTCATTTTATAGTTATAATGAAGACTCATCTGTACTTTAAGTGTTCTAGTTCTTTGAAATTTTCGTTACATTTTTATTCATGTATATAGAATTAAGATGATATTGATTTCAATTAAAGCAAAATATTTACCAGATATATATTTTTCGTATGTTTTATAGTTGTATGGCCCCTGAAATTTCTGCAAAACTGTTGCCATCGTGTCCTTTTGCAGTTTGTTGGCTGATTTTCGAACTAAGAGAACTTCGCTATTTTGTCCGGATTGTCCTTGTTCATCCTTCATTTCCTCCAGAACTTCTAACAGTCTTCTCTGTAAGTCGCTTCTAATGAGAAACGACTTGTTAAATTAGCCTTTACAGTGCAACTAAAAACAACTATACTCTACCTTTACTTGCGTTAATCACAAATAAATATAACCAAGAATAAGACTTCTTTTTTGAAAAAGGAGTAACTGTAACCTTTAGATGAAGGTTTATGTAAGACTTTTATTATGCCCCTTCATGGCTTGAGTATAATAGCCTTACGGTAGTCCTATAAAAGAAAATTAGATGCTGCTTTGTTCGATTTCAAATAAACAACAGTTAGTTTTTGGTCTTTTATTCTAGCAAATTTTCTATTTTTAAATTTGTCTGCCTACAAGGGCCGTTTACATTGTTGTCTTCTTCAGTGCACGCAACTTTAACTGTAACCTTTAGATTTAGGAGATGGACATTTATGATATTTTGAAATGACTTGTGCATATTGACTAATCACATGAGAAAATAGTCCCTGGAGCAGTAATAGTCTTAATGGCAGCTAATATCATCTAAAAATGGAATGAAAGCGATCTATTTCTACCTGTATATCGAAACTTGTGTGATTTTGAAAAAAGTCACGCAATTTGAAAACCACTTTGAAGCAGTGTACAAGTGAATTGATGAGACAATAAGTGCGATCCTGATTACAAGGATGAAGTAATATATCTAACTAATTCAACTTGAACTAGGCTTACTGTATGCCACTTTTAGGAATATTTGCCAATGTAACAACATGCAAAGCAAAACTGTAATCTTTCAAAGCAAACAATCCTCCAACAAAGTTCGCATATAACGTCGAACTGTGATAAAGTAGTAGCGTCGTCGTTGCTAATTTGTTTATTCTCTCTACACTAGTGATACGCCCATTCTTTCTGTAACTTGGTTTGCCATGTCATCGATATGACGCGAGTAAAAAAAAAAGTCACTGATAACGAAAAATTTATAATTAAAATTATATACATGCCATTTTGATGTTTACGTAAACTTCAAAGAGCAATATTTATAAAAGTCATATTAGAGAACTAGCTTGTTTAACCGTAAACAACGAAATTACTTCCACACCATTATTTACTCTTATCAGCAATGAGACGGCAATCACTGCCCAACTACATAAACATTTTACAATTATTGAATGCACATAGAATTCTGGAAAACCGTGTATAAGCAATAAATACGGTTTAATTTACATATATTTCCAAACTAATCTGAGACAAAATCAAGAAAATATATGCATATTTTATCTAATTATGTTTTGTTAACGTATTGAATGTGGCTCACGAGAATTTCTGAGATTGTTTTCACAATAAACCTTAATACTTGCCTAGTTCAAGGAAATATACAGCCAGTCAAAAATCTCTTTAAAAACTTAATTACTCACTTCATAGCGTTTCTTGTATTACTACTTGAATTTTAGTATCAAATGGTGTAAGATCAATAAACAAGTATTATATATAACTTACTTTTTATTATGTAAACCAGGCCGTTTGTTAGCTTGTAGTTTCGGTAGCTCTATAAAAGGAAGGTTAGGTATTGTCCTGGTGTTCAGTCTCGATTTGACATCAGTAACACTCGATTTACAATCAGTTAGCCTGCCAAACAGTGGAACTTTGTCTGTTTTATATCTGCCTACAGAGGGCGTTTTGCCGTCACATTTTCCAATACCTGCAACTTCGAAACTAACGAGTTTTTTCTTCATTCGACATTTGGGATTCATTTCCCCAAGTTCTTCTCCTTCGCTTTCTTTACCTGTCGAGTAAACATTTTGTTTTGAAGAAGGTCGATCACAATTATCGCATGCTGTTGATTGGCGAGGGTCATTAATCTTTTCGTTAGAAGATTGAGTCTTTGAAGAGTGAACCTGTTCAAGCGCATCTTCGGTAAGCAACAAACTGTTTCTCTTTAGTGATTTCAAAGCGCTTCTTGTTTGTTTTGATTTTTGATTTTCTCCTGCACCTATTGACTCTATTTTGTCTTCCAATAATTCATCATCATCAATCATATCCTCTTTATGCTGTATAAGCCTCTTCGATTTCTCGGTTTTTAATTTCACTTTACTACCCTTATCCTCTGTGGTAAACGTATATCCTGATGATGGTTGGTTTTTATTACGTTTGTTGAATTTCTGGGATGTTGGAATATTAAAATTTTCACATTCTGTTATAGTGGAAGTTGTTGGTGAGTTAGTTTCTTTTTTAAGCAATAGAATCTCCGACTTTCCTAGCCCGTGTTTGCAGTCACTTTTTTCTTGGAAAGGATATTTATTATTTTCCTGCATATACGCCTTGGTGACTCTCGACAATACCTCTGTCTCTTCAACTGTCGTAATTTCTTGTAGATCGTTTTTCTTATTCTTCCCTCCCTCATGTGATCTCATCTGAAAATGTGGAACTTTTTCTCCATCTAGTATTTTATTTTGAATATGTTTACTAATTTTTGAAATGTTAGTCTTTTTTATTTCATCTAAACTGTTTTCATTGACACCAGTGTCATTTAATTCATTTCTGTCTTGGCTACTTTGTTTTAGAGAGTCTTTGGTATTATCTTCAAATTGTCCACTATTTCCTTCCACGTTTTTAACCATCTTTTTTTGTTGATTGTCTTGCATGCTATTTTCCTTAGGAATATCAGCTTCGTCATCCTCCTTTTTAGAACCAGTATTTACAGGTAGGCTAAGAGATGATGGCATTTGATTTCTACTTTGTGATTTCCTCTTCTTTTCAGTCACTTTAGTTATTTTGTTGTTCCTTTCATACTTCTTTACCTCTAAACTATCTGGTTTTCCTTGTTTTGCTTCATCGTGGGAATCTTCCTCTATAGAAGCTTCTCTTTCGCGATGTCCTTTAAATATTTCCTTATAACATCTCTCTTCTCTTTTACTGCCTGTTTCTTTTGATCCGCTTTCACTTATGTCTTTGACATCACCATCCTTTCTGTCTTTAATTTCTTGCTGAAAATCCTTATCATTTTGTCTTGTTACACTGCTACCCAAGTGTTTGTCGTCTTGTTCTCTATCTCCCTTCTCTTTGTATTCATTTCTTTTTGTTCTTGAATTTTTTAATGTATCCAGAATAATACTTTCGTTATCCTCGTGCACTCTTATAACGTCAGAATCACTTTCGTCTATGTATGACGGCTTTATCCCTGGCCTTCGTCTTTCTGTTATTTTTCTGTTAAAACCATCTACACCGTCTTCATCTGAAGCTTCGCCGTCTCCATAGTCAACTCTTTGTTTTCCTTCCCTTTTCTTTTTGTTATCACCAGAAGCGGTGACGTAAACATTGGTGATAATAGTTGGTCTCATTCTTTTCTGCTCTTCTCCATCGTTGTTGTCTATATTGTTGTTGGAAGTACTCTCCACACTCTCTTTAAAATAATACTGTTGTTCTCTTTCCTTCGTAGTAGCTACGTTCACTTCTCTTTGGAGTTCCGGTGTGGGTATTTGGACTTGGACATCAGCATCTCGCCTCATGTCAGTCTGCACGGACTCTGATCGTGTCCTTTTCTCATCAAAACTCGATTCCAAACTGATTCCAACTGAAGACAAGTTTCCTTTAGCTGGTGTAATTCGTTGATTCGGAGCTTCTTCCAAGGGCCAAATGAGCGAACTGATGAATAAATCAACAAGTACTATAAATGTGAAAATTAAAGATAGTGAAACTTTGTAATGCTATTTCCCCCATTATATGAGGTAAAAATTCCTAAATAATTTAGTTTTCACAGATCAAAGATTATACACGGTTTATAGATTCAAATAAGTGTATCTTTCCTAAAGAAACGACAACATACATCATTCTTATAACAATTTTGGGCACTTTGTAATTAATCTATTAGCTTAAGATGTTCTACGACACATTATACGTTTTCCCTCAATAATGAAACTTAAGCTGTATGTGCCATAAAACACTGATAATATTCTTGTTTGAATAGAAAACTATCAGTTGGATACTTTCTAAATTACCTAATATTTCTTAGTTTCCTAGCAACGTACTAGCTAGAACTGTTTCACTTATTTTAAACTTCTTAATCTCATGGCAATCTATTAGCATGAACTGTTCTAACTTACCACTTAGTTTTAGTTCAACAGTAGCTTGCTAGTTAGATGTGCTCTAACCTATCTGCCTAGATTTAATTTAGTAGAGGTCTCCTTCCTGGAGTTGTTATAACTTACTCTCTAAGTTCCAGCTCAGTTGTAACATACATGCCATATTTTTGTTAGTTTCTAATTTACAAAGTTTTGAGGAGAGAAGCATCTTACTAACTTTAAATGCTGTAACCTATATGCAAACGTTTCTATTAAAGTGGCATTTTACTATCTCGAGATGTTCTATTTTACCTACAAAGGTTTTAGAAGAGTAGTATATTATCAGCAAGAGATGTTCCAACTTAGCTACAAAGTTTTTAAGGAGAGTAGTACATAACAAACTAGAAATGTTCTAATTTAACTGCAGAAGTTGTTATCAAAATGGTATCTCACTAAATGTTTTAGGAGAGTAGTATCTTACCAGCTAGAGATGTTCTACCTTAACTACAAACTTTCTGTGAGAATAGTATGCCTCAAGCTGAAGATGCCCAAGTCAACTATTTTAACTTTGGGGGTCTTTTATCTTGAAAAATTTTATCTCATATAATAGTACTTTTGAAATCCTAAACACACACATATATATATATTTAAATTTACCTACTAATATCCTTGTTCTCTAGTAGTCTACTGGCTGGTAGTGCTCCGTGTAGATGAAGGTATTTTGCACAACTTTTATTACCTCTCCGCAAGGTTACGTCTAATGGAGTCATTAGCTGACCCTAAAAGGAGGAGCATACATGATCATATAAATAAATAAATACAAACAAACATAATCCATCTTACTCTCAATTGGTGAAGACTCTAAGAGAGGGTCCTGGCATGGCCAGGTGGTAAGGGCGCTCGACTCGCAATCTAAGTGTCGCGGGTTTGAACCCTCGTCCCACCAAACATGCTCGCCCTTTCAGCTGTAGGGGCATTATAATGTGACGGTCAATCCAACTATTCGTTGGTAAAAGAGTAGCCCAAGAGTTAGCGGTGGGTGTTGATGACTAGATGCCTTCCCTCTAGTCTTTCACTGCTAAGTTAGGGACGGCTAGCGAAATTCAAACCAAACCAAGATTCTAAGAGATTCGAAGAATTATTGCATCTTAGTTTTGCTAACGTAAGTTTAGTTTTGCAGTCTTGATGAAGCGTTTTTGAATTTATACCTCCTTAAATTTGAAATTTTAAAACATTTTTTATTTCATTTTTTTCAGTGAATTTTGAATAAACTTCATTTAAATTATATGTCATGATATAAAAGACTGTTTAGTTTAAATGTTATTGATTGATTTGTTTTTGTGAGTGAATATTTTATTATTGTTAAGATTTTGTTATAATAACAGTTAAAAGCACACTATTGTAGGAGGCTTTGTTAATAATTCATTGATGTTGAGACTATTGAACGTCGCGTGCAATATATTGACGTCGAGAATACAGAAGGCGGACAGACGATTAGGTGATAAAGATAGCGTGAGACGAGCGGGAAGCAGCAGAGAGATAATAGCAGAAGAAAGAAAAGTTACAAAACGAAATGATAACTACACTAGAAGTGATAGGCCTAACGATTGACACAGGCCTAACGTTTAATATGTTAGAATAAGACTAAAAGTAGAAAAGAAGATAAGAAAAATAATTTATTCCGTCAAAGCGTGGTTCTAAAGTAATTGAATCAGACTGAGTACACTTTGATTTGTTTGTTTGTTTGGAATTAAGCACAAAGCTACACAATGGGCTATCTGTGCTCTGCTCACCACGGGTATCGAAACTCGGTTTCTAGCGTTGTAAGTCCGCAGACATACCGCTGGGTCACTGGGGGCAAGAGTACACTTTGACAAAAGGAACAGAAGATCTTCAGAAGAAAGAAGGCCAAACGATTGCTTTAACTTCCGCCACAACTGTAAGTGACTCACACACAGAATACTAGTGCGATAGTAATAGAGAAGATAGTTCGGCTTGTCAACTTAAATTCTAAAGTAACTGAATATGCCTAAGTGGACTTTTGACAATAAGAAGAGAACTATATATAAATAGTGTTTATGATATGCCTATAATCTCTATAGTGTGAGAAATTTGTTTTACATACGTTTAAATTGTTCCGAATATATATATATTATTTGAAAGCAAGTAAATTGTGTGCTGTTTATTCATCGTTGATTTATCGCTAGCAAGTCATAGACACTTACTGTAGAAGAATCCTAAGCCCAAAAACAACACAGTATATATTTATACTATTAAGAAGTATAACTAAAAACCTTTTTATTTTGACACTTGACGAAAAAAAAAGAATTATAGATATTTTAAATTCTGACACGATATGAAAATAAGGTGACCTCTACTATAAAGAAGTTTGTTAATTTACGTTTATTCTAATATAATTTAAGTTATCCACTGTTTTCTTGCAAATATAAGGTTAAACATCTCCAAAATGGAAATAGTGTGGCCGATATATATAATCAATATTTGGTGTTTTACGTTTGCTTTGCAAAATCGAACGTCAACTGTATCTTACTTAAACGTCTAGTAGTAAGTTTATTTTTTCTATTTTGTATCTCAATTAATCAGCATAGAACGCTAACGTCAGTTCAAAAACCAAGGAACTTTATAACCCGAGCATTTTCGAAAAATCTTCCGAATATGCTCGGGTTTCTATCAATAAAACTGAAAAATGTTTATATGCATAAAATAATACCCAAGCGAATAATATTACTTTGTTTGTCCGCAAGACGGCGTTGATGTTGGCTTTGTAGTCCAAAAGAATGTTGCAGATTTCTATGTTGTCAGTGATGGCCGCAATATGAAGTGCTGTTCGGCCATTATGATTTTGAGCATTGACGGCGCTGGGCTTCAAGGAAAGCAACCACAGCACAAGATCTGTTTGTAGAAATAAACCACTAGATTATTCTTCATAAATAAACCACTTGTTGATTCTTAATAACTAAATAAATAAATCACTTCCCAATTTCTAAAGAATAAACCACTAGAATATTCTTCATATATTGTTTGTTTGTTTGTAAATAAGCAAAAAGCTACTATGGGTTATCTGTGCTCTGCCCACCACAGGTATCGAAACCCGGATTTTAGCGTTGTAAGTCCGCAGACGTACCGCTGTGCCACTGGGGGGCATTCTTCATAAATAAACCACTTGTTGAGTCTTAATAAATAAATCATTAAATAAATAAACCACTTGGTGATTCTCAATAAATAAATCATTAAATAAATAAACCACTTGGTGATTCTTAATAAATAAATCATTAAATAGATAAACCACTTGGTGATTCTTAATAAATAAATCA